CACATTGACCTGTATGTTTCATTCACGTTACAGATGATTCCATGTTACGTACCGTGTAAAAGCAAATAAACCGTTGTTCGCTTGGGAGCTCACGTAACTTCACGCTATCGATATTCTACGCGTAGGCTCGTTGCAGTGGTCTTGCGTTTACCGCGAGAAAAATTTCGAGACTACGGAGTAACTAATTCTGGAACTTTCGAAGCTACGGGAATTTTGAGCTGTAGAACCCTACGATTTTGAAAAACCCAAATGTTGTTTTTTTTAGGTTTTTAAGTCTAGAACTGTAAACATGTGGGAGTTTGGAATTATGGGACGTCAAAACTGTGGGATTCTAGGATTCTAGGATATAAGAATTCTGGGATTCAGAAAATTTGGGACTCTGGAACACTGAGACCTTAGAATTATTGAACTTTGGGTCTCTAGAACTTCGAAACTCTGTATCTGTGAGACTCTGGAACTCTGAATCTAGATCTCTAGAATTATGAAAATCTAGAATTTTAAAACTTGAAGCTACAACTTCAGATCTGTAGGACTCCATATTTTGAAGATCTGAAATTCTGCTACATTGGAATTCTCAGCGTTTAAATTTCGAAACCAGTGGTTCATTAGAACTTTCGTCTTTCTTCGTCGACATCCAATGTTACTTATCAAAGTTACTATAAACTATGAATAACAATCACACGAGGATAGTTTACTAAACTATGTTTTCGTTGCATTATTGGAATCAGGGTAAGGAAAGGGCTCGAATGAAGGCTTCAAACGAAAGAGAGATCTACGACGGGACAAAAGAAAATGGATGGACAGAGGAATCGTGTGCATGAGGGCCCGTCTTCAACGGAGCAAGTCACGTGAAAGTGGCCTTGCCACGTTAACGTAGATCATGACGCAGTACATTTTGTTTTGCCTCCCCGTATTCTGCACGGGTCACGAAAATTGACCAATGATTTATATTAAAACAAAAAAAAAAAAGGAAAAGAAGCCGTCATCCAACTTTCGACAGAAGCATCCGCATAATTTCTAGTCACGCATTGCAGGGACATAAAGAAAGGAAGCATCGACCGAAGAGGTATGCAAAAATCGTATCCATCGATTGATATTCTACGAATCAACGAGGTCGAAGCAATTACGTCGTTAATTGTGATAGAAAGCTTAAGACGTTCACGGCGGTGGCAGTGTGACACAAGTTACGACATCGTGAGAATAAAAAAGTAATTCATGTAATCGTAATTGAAAAGACGAACTGGTATTTATGAATATTATATTCGTTTTAATTGTCACGCGATTTATGTTCGATCGCTGAAAAACAAAAGTATCGGATGGTCTGGTCGTGATTCCGTTAATTAGGATGCTTGTGGATTGCAAGTTGCTGAAAATTCAACGTATGAACGATTCACTTTCTATTGGGTAATACATGTGATCGTTTGTGTCCTAGCGGCACGACATACATAAAGCATGAACAACTTTCGATCATTCGACGCGCCACAAATAGACCGAGGGTGCAAGGACACTTGAGCCACCGAATTAAATCTGTGTGGAAAAGGAACGTTTACATTCGGCTGGAACTAATTGTAAGTCACATACAAACGAATCCATCAATCAATTTTATTTCCATTAGAGTTAACGGTCATTGTTATGTTTGGAGTGCAGTTTTTCAGAATATCAGAATTCCTCGAACTTTAGAATTCTAGAATTCCAGAATTTCCGATTTTTCATGATTCTAGAATTCCCGATTCCTCGTAGTACTAGAATTCTTTATCTTTCAAAATTCTAGAATTCCCAATTCCTCATCATACTAGAATTCTTTATCTTTCAAAATTCTAGAATTCTCAAATTTTTAGAATTCTAATTCTCTCGATTATCGTTTCGGTTGTTCTACACGATTATTGTCTAGGTGTTATCCCCATCACTGGCAGGGGAGGGGGGTGAAACCTCTAAAACGCATACTTTATTGTCGAGGCTCGTGCTTCGGGCAAGAAACGAATTTACGAGGCTCTGAAGCATTTCCCCCTATATGATTATTGTCCTGGCGCGGACCCAAGTTCGGGACGATAATCAAAAGGAGTCTGTACAACACTTTTGTTACACCCTGCATACATGACTTACACCACTTTCATCGATCACCAGGCACAATTCGCGCACCTGGCCGGTGCAGCACGGCGAACGCTGGAAAAGTCCCGCGCGTTTCTGAGGCTGCGTGCCAACGGGACCTAAGATATATACACGATCCACCCACCACGAACACGCGCAATGACTTTCACTTTCCGGGGAAGCGACCGTCGACAACGTCGATCGTGGCTTTTTCCACAAGCTCGTTCCACCTTGTCCCATTATATGCAAATCGTGGTCTCTCGACGCAGCAGTCAGGACGCTGCTACCACCTGCAGGCGAACGTTCGAATGGCGAATTTTTCTTGTCTCGCCAGCTGGCGTGGGGAATCAAAAGTTACACCGTGGGACACGGCGGGCTTTGGATGAAAGTAGGGGTACACAGATGCTCGTTATTAAGGTCGAGGTAATGAGGAAGAGATGCACTCGTCTTCGTGACCGACTTCCACCTGGGATCCCCCACCCGTGGATCTTCTTAAAGATCTACTGTACAGGCTTGAAAAGTTGTTATTTTTTTGAGAATTTTTTTCTCTAGTGAACGAAATGTTCCACGTAATTGTAGTGTCGTCTATTTATTAATACACTTATTGAGAGTATAACAAAAATTTTGTTTTGAAACTTTTAATAGTTTTGTGGAAGTTAGCGCCTTGAAAATAATTGCTGGCGTAGGTATTCCGGGAGAACGAAAATCGGAATAAAAAAATTCGAAATGATTTTTAATCGGTACGAGTGTCGTTATCGTCGGAAGAAAAATTATTATGACCGCTAAAAAATAAACAAAATGACGGAGGTTTGAAGGACAATATAAAAATGCAAGAAAAAAGAATACACGTACATCAACCAGTAAAAATCCAACAAAATCCTCTTCAACAACGAAAACAATCAACCGATTATTCTGCTCAAGAAAAGCTTGTCTCAATCGAAGAAACTTCACACAATAACGGATCTTTTTTCGTTTGAAGCAAATTCTCCCCGTGTTAAAACTTTCTTCCCATCACACGTTCTCATCTTGACGATCATGACTTCTTCCTCGATCGATCTTCCGCACGAGGGGACTCCGACAAGACTCTTCACCGTGTACGTCTGATCCATTAATCAGCCCCGTTCCCGTCACGAAAGTTTCTTCTTTATTATTTTTCGTTTGCACGTGGTCTTCGTCAAACATGGACCAACGGATCGACTGGCTGTGCCACTTCCGGTCCCCACTTTAATCTTCTTCCCATCGTCTGCATCCTCCTCTTCGACGTATCCTACACGATGTCGTCCACGGAAACGGTGAAAGTATATACAAAGGTCGTGAGTGCGAGCCTCAGCGACCCTGAAGGCCCCTGGGGGACACGTTTTCTTTCACCTCTTCGATCTTATCCCTAGAAAGCATCTTCTGTCCGCGGGTACCATTGCGGTTCCCGCGCATAGAAACCTGGCTTTCATCTTGTGTTCACGACGTTTAACCGTTCATCATTGGGAACCGTGTGAGAAGTTGCCTTGCACTTCTACCTGTGTACATTAATCCTTTCATTTCCAAAATTATTGAATAATTACCGAAGAAATATTTTTCAATATCTTTAAGGTATATAAATCATTCCAGACTTTAACATTTGGAGATTGTCTAATACCATTTTCATCATTAGTTGCTATTCGACAAGTCCTTTTTAGGTTTAACACAGTTACATACAGAGTGTCCTATTTAAATCGACCCACTCGAATATCTCCGAAACTGTTTTTCTATGTGATCGCGTAGAAGTCATATGAAGGTCAACTTTGTTTTTTTAAATGGACACGCGTACTTTGGTGGGCAATTCAGATAAATTATTGACACTTAAATATATTTGTGTCTTTCGAAGACACTTCGTTTTAATTTGCCAAATATGTGGCGTTTATCATTGTGAAATGGATGTCGTTTTCATTCCATTTATCTGTTTCTATCCTTGCGAAACAGTCGAATGACCACGATATAAATTAATGGTCCATTAAAATTCTTGCACGGAATTGTGCAGCTGTAACGAATCGGGGAAGGAACTGGATAAGTATAAATAATAAAAAAAAGGTACTTTATTACGATAACATACACAAACATCGTACAAAAATATCTATATGTATATATACTTTGTAAACAGCTGTTATTTACAAGTGGGAACTAATTACAATTCAATGCATCGTGGACACGGGAATGTCCCCGGCACAATCGACGATAAACATGTACAATTATGGTACCACCAACCATCTTTTTCCAGAAAAAAAAAATCATATTAATGAACTCGCGAATACCGTGTCACTGTTTCATAGGGGCGATTCAGTTGGCAGAAAATTTCAAAAAGGACAAAGACTCGTCTGATCGATCCATTATTTCTCTGTCCCACGATACAGTAAATCATCGATGCGTGTAACGCTGACTTTTTAATGCAATTTAACACAGTGATGGAGCTTGAAATTCCGAAGCCAATGGTATTTGTTTCAGCCGCATGTGGCCATTAGTTTATGAAATATTTAATGTTCAGTGCCGAGGAGCCTTTGGACAACAATCGATCATTTACTGTACTTTTACGTCCACGATTATCAACGTACCATGGGAGACGTGTCAGGTTCTTCTTTCTTCCATGGTACATTCGTCCAGTCACTGTAAACGATAACATTTTACCCACGATGACTCGTGAAACTCGGGTACCATTACTGTAATCGTCATAGTCAAAGCTTTCCAGTCCCAATTACCGCGGACACGACACGAATTTTATTCTCTCTGAAGTCAGCTCTCGCGGACCTTTTGTGATCCCCTGGGGTCTCACGATTACACACAGACACACACCTACCGCGGAAATTTAACAACGATGCGACGTGGGTAGTGGTTGTAGTCGTTGAAGATCGAACGAAAAGATCTCTCGACGACAGGAATTAGCACTACTTGTAACCGTGATGCTCGTCGTGATGGGGCTCCGCCTGTACCCAGACTTTCTCCCAGACGGGTTTCCAGATCTTCTTCCAAGCTGGCACCTGCACGTCCTTCCAAACAGGCACCCATTTGCTCTTCCACTCGTCCTTCCACACCTGTTTCTTCTGCGTGACCCATATCTGTTTCTTCTCGGGCACCCAGACCTGTACCGATTCCTCCTTCCATACCAGTTTCTTGTCCGCCACCCAGACCTGTTTCTTCTCGGTCTTCCAGATCTGCTTCCACTCCTCCTTCCACTCGAGCTTCTTGTCGTTCACCCAGACCTGTTTCTTCTCCGTTCGCCAGATCTTCTTCCAGACCGGCTTCCAGATCAGCTTCTTCTTCCAGAGATCGTGACTGGTGTACTGCCAGCCGTTCTGATCTTTACCCACGTACTGTTCTCCTGGGATACCAACCTTGACCCATTCAGGCACCCAGATCTTTTTCCAATCTGGAACCTGGACTTCCTTCCAGATAGGGACTTGGATCTCTTTCCACACTGGCTTCCAGACCTTCTTCCAGGCTGGGACCTGAACCTCCTTCCACGCTGGCACTTGGATCTCCTTCCAGATTGGCTTCTGGACCTTCTTCCAGGCTGGGACTTTAACCTCCTTCCAGGCCGGGACCTGGACCTCCTTCCAAACAGGGACTTGAACCTTCTTCCATTCCTGCTTCCAAGTCAGCTTCTGCTCGGTCTTCCAAACCTGCTTCCATTCGGGCTTCCAGGTTAGCTTCTTCTCCCATTTTCCTTGAGGTTGAGGTGGTCCGTAGGACTGGGTTGGTGGTCCGTAAGATTGAGCTGGTGGTCCGTATGATTGCGACGGGGGACCATATGAGGATGACACTCCTTTTCCTCCACCTCCTCCGTGATGGTCGCCACCGAAGGGTCCAGAGTCGCCTCCAAAGGATCCGTGACCACCTCCACTACCTCCAAAGGAGCCGTGACCACCGCCACTGCCTCCAAAAGAGCCGTGATCGCCTCCAAAGGAGCCGTGATCACCTCCAAAAGAGCCGTGATCACCTCCACCGCCTATAAAGGAGCCGAGATCACCACCACCTCCGTGTCCACCGTGATCACCTCCGAACGATCCTCCGCTGCTGTAACCTGAATCGCCGCCACCGATGGGACCGTGACCAGATGGTGCACCGTAGCTCGACGATGGGGCTCCGTACGAGGAGGATGGTGCTGATGGAGCACCGTAGGAAGATGACGGTGCACCGTGGGAAGAGGACGGAGCACCGTAGGAGCTAGAGGGCGCTAATGGGGCACCGTAAGAGCTAGAGGGCGCTGATGGGGCGCCATAAGAGCTAGAGGGTGCTGATGGGGCGCCATAAGAGCTAGAGGGCGCCGCTGGAGCTCCGTAGGAAGAAGATGGCGGAGCTGGAGGTGCACCGTAAGAGTCGGACGGTGCACTATAAGAGTTTCCTATGCTCGGTACTCCATAAGAGCTCGATGGTGGACCGTATTGATTCTGTGGTGGTGGGCTTAATGGAGCTCTAGAATTTTTAATTGTTATTTATAATATTTCTTTTAGAATCTTTTCGCTTGAGTAGACAGTAGAACTTCAACTTTCCGTTAGTATACAGGACCATGATAATGGATAACTTTTTATTATTGTATTAGCAATCAGAGTACAATCTGATGAACTGATTTGCTGGCTTGGGTATACTGTCTACAGTACTACTTACGATGTGATGAGAACTCATTCATTGGGGAGTCCTTTTTAACCGACGATAAAATTTACAAATTTGTAAGTTAACTAATTTCTGTACTTTCATATCGTAATGAAAGTTGTAAAAGATTTGAGACGATGTATTGTTACAACAAAAATGAAAGGTTCATACAGACTGACGGATAATCGAAGTTCTACTGTATTTCATTTAGTTCACTTACTCTTTTTTCGTCCTGATTGGATCTCCGAGAGCGGAGACGAAAAGGAAGCAGCCCAATATTAGCTGTAAAATGAAGCCAAAGAATGTATGTTACGAATCACAGTATCACCTATCTTATCAATGATATCCTCAACTTTTTTCTAATTTTTAAATACTGCCCCACTATTACAAAATTGCATTTCTTGAAACAAATTCAAAATAAGTGGTTAAAAACTATTTTTTTTAACTGAAATAAGTTTTTAAATATTCCTGTCTCCACTGAAAGCCACTCACAGAGCTCATTTTGATCAGTTTGTTAATTCAACAGTTATGATTTATTGAAAAAAAAGTTTTCACTATATTTCAAACAGCTGCAAAATCGACAACAAAACAGTGTCAACAAAATCCGAAATGTTACTCCATAAAGTGTCCGATTTCGCGGTGGAATGACCCTATAAAGGAATTAGTTTGACGGTAGCTGCCGGAAGCGAAAACACGTCGAATCGACTAGCCAGAAATGCAAATGAGACGATCATGGCACGCTGGTCATGTAGGGTGACTACTGTTGCGGGGCTCCGTAATTACCTGGTAACACAGTGTACTCGCTAGGAATTCCGCGAGCAACGATACGATCTCTTGTATTCTACCTAAAGTACCGCTTCATACACGAGCATTATACTAATAATTAAATTCTGATTTCGATCAGTAGTGTCCGTAACTCGGCCTTCGCCCCGTTATCTGACTTTCCGCTAGGAGCGAACTTGGCGAACAAATGAACTATACCTCGCGCCAGTCCTTTGTCTGTAATTCGCGAGAATCTATAAACCTTTTGTTGAACGTCTCGATTTTTTAACAAGTCTCGTTCTTTAGAACTGATGATCAATAGAATATAATCGTAGAAAAGAGTAGAAAATGAAAAAAAAAAAAAACAGACAGAAACTGTTTGGTCGAATGGTCTGTGACAGAGTTTATAGAGAAAGCGAATAGTATTTATAGACAGGTGTTAAAGTACCTACGTGCTCGTTCGAAACGAAGTAATAGGTTCATCTTATAATCGCGATTCCCATGTTTATTCAGTGAAAAATGGGCAAATAGATTCTCATCTTTTATTCATTGTTCGAAACTCTTTATCTACAACGGGGGGAGGGGGGGAGGACAAAAGTATTCATACGTTTCTTATATTAACATAGACACTGGTAATTAGCTTCTCTCCATCTCTATTTTTGATTACCATACCGGGGATATATATTTATATCTTCGCGAGATAATTTACTATTAACTCGAAGAATATACTGAAAGTATAGAAAAACGAATTTATGAATTTAGATAAATACAGGAACCGAAGAGGAATTATCTGCAAGATAAAGAATTACGATTTGGTCCCCAAAAATCGATTAAAATAATTTTTGACTCGTCGATATATCGTGTAAATCGAGGAATGTGCAAAAATTCAAGTAGAATCTCAAATAGCACATGACGTCTTAAAGACGGCTTAAAGGCGCCTTGAACCTAAAGTAGCCGTAAAAAGGGCGTCTTCAAGGCGTCGTGTGCTGTCTGATATCAGTACAACAATGACAACACCTTTGCATCGTGGCTGCATGGAATACCCCCTTACGAAAGTTCTTTCACCATGAATAATGTATTTGCCCATCTCTGTCCGAGAAACCAGTCGTGCCCGTTTCTTTCCGCCCGCCAGAATCCATGTCTGGCGCGCGTTTCCGTCGGTTTTACGAGCTAGCCTCTCAAAAAAATGAAAGTGTCCGGGCGTAAAACGTGGTTCTTCTCCGTGAATTGGGTCGAGAGGTAGTAATTCCTCTTTTCTTTCACGCAGCGACCACGGAAATACCGAAACCGGAGGCGCGAGGACCCCGTTGCTCATTAACGCATGCGCGAAAGCGGCGTTCTTCCCAATTTCGTTTCCTGCCCCCTGTTCCCGTTTCCGCATATTTCACCCGTCCAGCGGACCGGTTTCCCCCTCTGTTTCGCGATGTTCCGCTTTTGCGTGTGGTTTGCTACCGGTTTTCCGGGTGTCAAGATCAAGGACCAAGCGTCGAAAGGAAAAAACAGACCCGATACCACGGGACTATTGTAGATAGTATCGGATATACAGGGTGGAAATCGTAGTACAAACGGGCAGCGGGTGATTCTACGGTAAAAAAGAAGAAAATATTTTGTTATAATATTTTCTCATCCGGGGCTCCGTTTTCGAGAAAATCGACTTTAAAGTTTGTTCAACTTGTAAACGATTTAATACAATTTGCTTGTATTAGTAGTACAAAAAAATTAAAAATGAGTATTCACCCAGATAGCAGATGATGCCTAATGAAGAATCACCTCCTGCCCGGTTGTACTACGATTTCCGGCCCACCCTGTATGTCTGATCCCCGTTTTACACGCTCGACGATCGGGCATTTTCAGGTTAGGATCAGGGGAATTGATAGAAAGCAGCCGGCACGGGGGACACATTAATCCGAAAATGTGGAAGGAAAAGCGTGACGCGCTAGCTTCAATGTCGCTTGGATATTCTTTGAACCGATGGAATACAATGGGGTATGCAGATTTTATGCATTTATAGAGTTGGAAATAACTTCTGTCATGGACACTAAAATAATTACTAAATAATAATTTAATAGCAATGGTCATAGAATACAGTTAAACTGAATATCAATAATTAAGTTTTTAGAGGTAATGATCAACGTTTTGTAGATTGATATGAATTGTTAAAATGCCTTGAATCGACGTAAATTTGAAAAAGTATAGCAGAAGTTACTTATAATTCAACCTAATATTTCGTTAATTAAATTTAAGTTTAGCGAATATGAACAGACAGTTCTGTTATAATTAACAAATATTTTTACTACAATTGATGAAAGATTAGAATGACTAATGGAAGAATATTTTAGTAATATAAATATAATTATATTGGATCGAACCGTGTTTTCCTTCCATTTTTACTTGCAGTAAATAAAAACTGTTTATCAGTAATAATGGAGGATATGTACTATACATTGTTTTAAGAAACAATTTTCGGATAAACAAGAAAGAAATGCAATGCCAATATACTTAAGAGCAGCAGTGTACGTAGATATAGATACTAAGATTTCCGGAGAACCTCGGACCAGTGGCGCCAAATCGACAAGAATTCAAATTCAAAGGAATCATAAAAGCTACGTCTGTCATCGTGGCGAAGTTACACTGCTTCCACTATGACGTTCAAAAACTAATTGTTACGAATCTACAGCACAATAGATCACACGCAAGTACCCAATTACAATTCGTAAAAATCACATTATTAACCAAATCACGAATGTTTACACGGGTTCCAATTTTCAGAGACTGCTCTACGACAATCCAAAATTTAAAAAAGAAATACTGCACCATCAAAGAATTTACTTAACCTCATCAGACCCAGTGAACATTACAATATACAATAATTTTAACGTTTCTTCTGAAGCTATTTTCCATTTTTCTTTCCAGATTTTATTTCTAGAAAATATACCATATACATTCTAAGGTACAAATGGATTAAAAAAAAAACGTAAAATAATTTCAGAACAAACACTATAATAATTACTATAAATTCCAATGTGCACAGGGTCCGAGGTGATTAATTTAAAAAAAAAAGTAAAAAAACTCCATCCTCGAGAAGGAATTATTAATTTATACATGACATAAAAACCGTTAAAATCCACGAACCACCGATGACAGACGTTAACAACACAATAACCGGTGAAACATTGGTTACAACTCGTCAACGCACACCCACATTTCCCCAAAAAATTTTCGAATCTTCACAAAAATCTCTACCCACCCATCTAACCTTTTTCCACCGGTTCTGCGTCGATTTATCGAAATTCAAACCGTATTTACTACAAAAAGAGCCGCGAGTGTGCGAATCCTCTTTTTTTACCCGCACAATACAAATCGCCTCGTATTTCCCACTGGTCGTCGGTTTTCTGTTCACTGGTTTTTCTTTTGTCTCCGAACGCGTAGTCACAATTTCACAGTTTCACTATAATGTACTACAGGGCCCCACGTGGCGAAGATTCGTTAAACGCTCGTGTGCACTAACCAGGCTGGACCGGATCATCTTCTTGCGTGTAGAGGGCGTGCTTGTGTCGCGTTACACGGGGCGGATAGGACCCAGAAAAGAAATTCAAAAAACGGCAGCGGCCCGCCGCTTTTTCGTATTCTTGTTGTTGTTACGATTTCGGTATTTTTTATCGCGTGTGTCACGGTTCGTCACTCCTCTGACGAATACCTGGTGTCTACGGGGCCTTTTATAGCGGAGTGCTCGTCCGCCTAAGCTGCTAGTTGCCCTAAGCACAGACATTTCGAGGAGGGGTACCATGGAACGGACGGTATATGGGGGTCCCAGCGTGCCTTGTCTACATCCTGAACGTCTCTCTGGTGGGGATCCTCGGCGAGACGATGACGGTAAAAGGGGGCATTTCTGGTGTTAGGAACGCTTTTTTTTCTTCACTGTCATTCCACCTGTTCTTCTTCTGTGTTTCTTTACGTAACGCACTTGCACGATCGTTTCTATCCAGGGATCGAAATAAAAATACTTTAACATAAATTTAATTATAAAGGGAGGTTCAAATTTGATATCTAACAAGTTCTTTTGTCGATTGTTGCATAAATATACAGTAATAATCACTTTCTGCGATAGGGACATTGACCTTGCCATGTTTAAAATATATAGTTCTGTTCAAAGTAAAATTATCATTTTCAAGAACGTTTATTTATCTATTCTTATAGGAACTTATAATATGAGAACGTTTTTCTTTTTTTTTTTTTTTTTTTTCTTAAAGTTACAGGATATATGTTTTAAATGGATACCTATTAAAGAGTTTCCATAATTTTTTTCGATTCCTGTTTCTATCCTTAATCACCGCTAGAACCGCTTTCGTGATGAAGTCGGGATCGTTGCTCGACATCTCGGACGCGTTCGATCGCTTTCCTTTTTCGGGTAATTATAGATTGGTTTATGTAATTCCGGGAGACTCGGGGGGGATTACGATGGTTGATTGCTTGACGTGTATTCGCCGATGGACCGTTTGTGGATAATATCGGGCTGTTTCGTAACTGATTTTCGTTTCCGAGATGTGGTCGATGTTTGGCAAAGCTAATTGTACTGTTAATCGCCAGTGAGGTGATCGTTAAATAGTTGGTCTTGCATTACGATCGTTTTCGATTGTTCCTTCAGAAAATTTAATTACTTACTGGAAGAGGGAAAGCTATTACTGCTTGATTCTAAACTGCATCACAGTTTAATTAATACAATTTACCAATTCCATTAT